ATTAAGAAATCCATCACGTGCACTCGGGGGCAGATGACCATTTCGCGGGGCCCCCCTTTGCCACGGTGCATGCGCAGGGCTTCTTGAAGCGCAGGGCCTGGGGCGGCTGCCCCGCTCGCCCTGCCCTATATCCGCCCCTGCGTGCACTGGTTTAGCACCTGGACCATCGCTATGTCTTCACATCTGCCAACCAATGCAATGCATTGGTCTGACATGTTGCTTGCATTAAGTGTTTGCAGACTGTTTGTTTGGGCCACAAACAGAGCTAGTAGTGTCAGAGGGGGAGCCATGTTAGTCTGTAGCTGCAAAAATAATGAGGAGTCCTGTGGTACCTTAAAGATTAACAGATTTATTTGGGCATAAGCTTTTGAGGGTAATTTTGTAGATCTGACAGTGACTGAAATGCCAACTTGCAATAGATCGCAGAACCACTGAAATAGAATGAGTGGTCTCTGATGGTTAAAGGAGAAAAAAGCTTACCAGCTGGTTCTGGTTCCATAAGCTCTATCGCCTCTGGACTCATTCAATACTACAGCTGTTCCCAAGGTTTGAAATGCACCTGAGTTTTAAAAAATGCTTCTCATCTGCCACTTTACAATCTGAAACTTATTTCCTATTTCCTGTTAGTAAAACCATTGCTGGTTATCTAGAAAATCCAAGTTATCATTTACTCATAGAAAAACAAACACATGATAAACCACAATGATATATTCTCTGTAAAGCTGCTTACCAAGAAGAGCTAAAAAGCTGTTGTTTTTCATCAATGCAATGGTATGTAGGCAATAGAGCTACTTTGTGAAAATGTATCCTAGCTAGCTCACATAAGGTTGTAAGTCTTAACTAATTGCAATTCTCATTCAGCAAAAACAGATTATTATCTGCAGTATTTTATTATGGATATTTGGTTCTTTTTATTGCTTTGCATACATCAGACATACTTTTTTGGAGATGACAAAGAGATCGGAAGTACAGTTAATCAACGTACAAATAGTTGTACGTGACAATGCATTTTATTAAATACTAGAAGATTTAATAGAATCATCACCTAGAAAAGTTAGATGCCTACAAGTCATCAGGGCCTAATGAAATGCATCCTAGAATACTCAAGGAGCTGATAGAGGAGGTATCTGAGCCTCTAGCAATCATCTTTGGAAAATTATGGGAGACAGGAGAGATTCCAGAAGACTGAAAAAGGGCAAATATAGTGCCCATTTCTAAAAAGGGAAATAAGAACAACCCAGGAAACTATAGACCAGTTAGTTTAACTTCTGTGCCAGAGAAGATAATGGAGCAAGTAATTAAGAAAATTATCTATAAACACTTGGAAGGTGGCAAGGTGATAGGGAACAGCCCTGGTTTAGCACCTGGACCATCGCTATGTCTTCACATCTGCCAACCAATGCAATGCATTGGTCTGACATGTTGCTTGCATTAAGTGTTTGCAGACTGTTTGTTTGGGCCACAAACAGAGCTAGTAGTGTCAGAGGGGGAGCCATGTTAGTCTGTAGCTGCAAAAATAATGAGGAGTCCTGTGGTACCTTAAAGATTAACAGATTTATTTGGGCATAAGCTTTTGAGGGTAATTTTGTAGATCTGACAGTGACTGAAATGCCAACTTGCAATAGATCGCAGAACCACTGAAATAGAATGAGTGGTCTCTGATGGTTAAAGGAGAAAAAAGCTTACCAGCTGGTTCTGGTTCCATAAGCTCTATCGCCTCTGGACTCATTCAATACTACAGCTGTTCCCAAGGTTTGAAATGCACCTGAGTTTTAAAAAATGCTTCTCATCTGCCACTTTACAATCTGAAACTTATTTCCTATTTCCTGTTAGTAAAACCATTGCTGGTTATCTAGAAAATCCAAGTTATCATTTACTCATAGAAAAACAAACACATGATAAACCACAATGATATATTCTCTGTAAAGCTGCTTACCAAGAAGAGCTAAAAAGCTGTTGTTTTTCATCAATGCAATGGTATGTAGGCAATAGAGCTACTTTGTGAAAATGTATCCTAGCTAGCTCACATAAGGTTGTAAGTCTTAACTAATTGCAATTCTCATTCAGCAAAAACAGATTATTATCTGCAGTATTTTATTATGGATATTTGGTTCTTTTTATTGCTTTGCATACATCAGACATACTTTTTTGGAGATGACAAAGAGATCGGAAGTACAGTTAATCAACGTACAAATAGTTGTACGTGACAATGCATTTTATTAAATACTAGAAGATTTAATAGAATCATCACCTAGAAAAGTTAGATGCCTACAAGTCATCAGGGCCTAATGAAATGCATCCTAGAATACTCAAGGAGCTGATAGAGGAGGTATCTGAGCCTCTAGCAATCATCTTTGGAAAATTATGGGAGACAGGAGAGATTCCAGAAGACTGAAAAAGGGCAAATATAGTGCCCATTTCTAAAAAGGGAAATAAGAACAACCCAGGAAACTATAGACCAGTTAGTTTAACTTCTGTGCCAGAGAAGATAATGGAGCAAGTAATTAAGAAAATTATCTATAAACACTTGGAAGGTGGCAAGGTGATAGGGAACAGCCAGCATGGATTTGTAAAGAACAAATCATGTCAAACCAATCTGATAGCTTTCTTTGCTAGGATAACTAGTCTTGTGGATAAGGGAGAAGCTGTGGATGTGGTATACCTAGATTTTAGTAAGACATTTGAAACGGTCTTGCATAACCTTCTTATCAATAAACTAGGGAAATACAACCTAGATGGGGCTACTGTAAGGTGGATGGTTATCCAGCCTGTTATGCAGGATAACCATTCTAAGAGGTTAGTTATTAATGGTTTGCAATGATGCTGGAAGGGCATAACACGGAGGGTTTCACAGGGGTCTGTTTTGGGGCCGGTTCTGTTCAATATCTTAATCAACAATTTAGATGATGGCAGATAGAGTACAGTTATTAAGTTCAGATGATACCAAGCTGGGAGGAGTTGCAAGTGCTTGGGAGGATGGGGTCAAAATTCGAAATGATCTGGATAAACTGGAGAAATGGTCTGAGGTATACAGGATGAAGTTTAATACGGACAAATGTAAAGTATTCCACTTGGGAAGGAACAATCAGTTTCACACATGCAGAATGGGAAGCGACTGTGTAGGAAGAGTTCTGCTGAAAGGGATCTCATGGAGCACAAACTAAATATGAGTCAACAGTGTGCACACTGTTGCAATACAAGCAAACATCATTCTGGGATGCATTAACAGGGAAGGAACAATCAGTTTCACACATACGGAATGGGAAGCGACGGTCTGGGAAGGAGTATGGCAGAAAGGGATCTAGGGGTTATAGTGGATCACAAACTGAACATGAGTCAGCAGTGTGATGCTGTTGCAAAAAGAGCAAACATGCTTCTGGGATGCATTAACAGTTGTGTTGTGAGCAAGACATGAGAAGTCATTCTTCTGCTCTACTCAGCGCTGGTTAGGCCTCAGTTGGAGTACTGTGTTCAGTTCTGGGCACCGCATTTCAAGAAGGATGTGGAGAAATTGGAGAGGGTCCAGAGAAGAGCCACAAGAATGATTAAAGGTCTAGAGAACATGACCTATGAAGGAAGGCTGAAAGAATTGGGTTTGTTTAGTTTAGAAAAGAGAAGATGGAGGGGGGACATGACAGCCGTTTTCAGGTATGTAAAAGGGTGCCATAAGGAGAAGGGAGCAAACTTGTTCATCTTGACCACTGAGGATAGAACAAGAAGCAAAGGGCTTAAACTGCAGCAAGGGAGGTTTAGGTTGGACATTAGGAAAAAGTTCCTAACTGTCAGGGTGGTTAAACACTGGAATAAATTGCATAGGGGGGTGGTGGAATCTCCACATATGTATCAGGGATGGTCTAGATAGTATTTGGTCCTGCCATGAGGGCAGGGGCCTGGACTCGATGACCTCTCGAGGTCCCTTCCAGTCCTAGTATTCTATGATTCACCTGGCTTTTCTCAGGTCCTTGAGGGCAGGGGTGTGTGGCTGTGGAAGGTGCAGTGTAGGGGTTTGGGGATGTTGGGGGCTAGAATGTGGGGGTGCAGGTTTCAGGGTTGTGGGGTGAGGAGGCCCTCAGGGCAGGGGGTTGTTGTGTGCTGGAATCAGGGTTTGGGGGTGAGGAGGGGCTTGTGGCAGGAAATTGGTGGTCTGGGGGTGCAGGACTCTGGGTTGGGTATGAGGAAGAGCTCAGGGCATGGGTTGGGGTAGTGGTAATAGACTCACCTTTGGGGGTGGTAAGGAGAGGCTTAGGAAAAGGGCTGAGGGTTTAGGAGGTGCAAGGGCCAGTGGGGACTATGCTTTCTGGGTAGCAGCTTCCCACAGCTTTCAGGGTGGCAGCTCCTCAGGGGTGGCCACAGTAGGGGGAAGCTGGCCTTCACCCCTGCTGTCCCATCTCTGGCTCCTTGCTGTCCCCTGTGGTCATTACACAATAAAGCTGTCCCTGCTAGCAGCTCCCTCCCTTTCCATGTTATGGAAAAACGATTGCATTCTGAGCATATCCCATAGTCCTGGTACAACCAAACCCTGACCTTGCTTTAAGACATGATAAGAAGCTGAATACTGAATTTGGTGGTCTAGCTCCCCCCATTTAGGAGTTCTTGAATAAACAGACTCGCTAACTTGCTCACAGACAAACTCTCTCAAACATATAGTAGATTTAGCCAATTCAGGTTCTTTGAATATATTCAAGTCTATTCTAGTGACAGATACTAATGCACCATGTAAAACTGGGAGATTTACTTATTCTGAAATTTATTAACTTTTATTCTGGTATATTATCTCCATGTCAAAGAAAATGTGCTAATCTTTTCTATACTCTAGAACTCCAGTTCACTGGAGCAATCCCATGGACTTGAATGGTATGACTAATTTATTATTTTTTCTTTTCTTCACTCTCCAAGTGTCCATTCCATGAATTAAAATATACCTTGCTGCTGTGTCTTTGGCTCCAGCAGTTAGTCAGAATTCAGAGCCTTGCAGGGCTACTTCCATCTGGAGGAAAAATTGATAGTGCAGATCAGGCATGTCCTCGATGTAATCTTTTTTATTTACAGAACACATACATCAGTCCTGTTTCCCTGACAACAGGAGATACAGCCAATAGCAAACAGTTGAGAAATCCCCATGTCTGCTACTGCAGCAAGTTCAGTGTTTGAGGAGTCCTTGCTCTTTGCTTCCTCTCAGGTTCACACTCACAACTCCAAAGAGCCTGCAACCAATATCCTAGTGCTGTTCCAGGGCTTGCAACCAGGAAAGCCACTGCATCTATATGGCTTAGCTCTGACCTGCCATGTGCCTATTGTCTTTGGTTTTACTACACAGTGGGGCTTCATCGCTCCTTCTGTTGATCCTAAAAGAGTGCTTGGGACAGCATTCCTTTAGCAAAGCCCAGGATAGTCCTTGGCTCTGAGGCCATATCTTCACCACGGGGAAGATTGATGTTGCCACAATCAATCTTCTGATGTTCAATTTAGCGGGTCTAATAAAGACCTTCTAAACTGAACCCAGGGGACAGCCCCTCAGTGCCAGTATGAGGAGCAAGGGAAGCAAATAGGAGCATTTGCTCCTGTCAGCCTGCTCTGTGGAGATCGCATGGAAACTCGCATCAAGGTATGTAGACTCTAGCTATGTAATTAATGTATCTGGAATGGCATATCTTGATCTGACCTTCCCCTGAAGTATATACCTGGTCTCAGTCACCTACTGGCAGTCATTACCAACTTTCAGTGTAAGATATGGCTGTCCTTTATAGCATATGTAAGTGACTAATCCACTAAATCCTTGACACCCTCAGCTACCCCATGCACATCACCTCAAAAGCTGAAAGAAACATTTTTGGCTTTGCAACCTGCCAGGGAAGATTGAAAACGTCTGGACAGAGACAGATCAAAGGAGGAAGCTGGTTCCAAAGCTCCGCCTCAGAGCTTGCCAGTAGCTCCCTCTTGTTTATATCCATCTAGATTCAGCCCAAGCGCTTCCATTGTGGTAGTAGCACCTAGGGAGAGAAGTGATCTCTTACACAGGAGTCCCAAACCATTTAGAGCTTTCAATCAGCATGTAAAGGCCCAATACCTTGCTGATATCAACTTGAGGAACTCCAGTGGAGTTATTCATGGGCAGTGGTTGAACCCCTGGTTCGGGAGGCAGTCCTGCCCCTTCTGCAACCACCAACCTCAACACCCCCCATCGTGGCCACTGGCCCCTACTTCCTGGCCTTGGACAGTGTGGAGCAGGAACACAGCCCCAGATCCTTGACCTTGGAGATCTGGGAAGGAGGTGTGGCCCCAACTGCCTTTTAGCTCATGCAATAGAGGCTCATGCACTAAATTCTAGAGGTCCCAGGTTTGATTCCACCTGCAGATAACTGGAATTTGTCATCATTTTACCTGGAGGACCAAAGCCAGACAGGAGGAGTGTCCCCAGCCTCCTTGAGGCCGCACTGTCCAGTCAGCCCTCCTGTCTGTCCCTCCCACTCATAAAGCCCCCACACCAAACCACCAATCCCAGTGCACTGTGGCCCCCCAGCCAGGGCCATTCCGAGAGGGGTATGGGACCCAGGACCTGAGGCAACTCCCCTACAGTGCCCCTGTGATATTCACTGCCCATGGAGTTACTCCAGTTTACCCTCTTCCAGGATCTGAGTGGAGACTGCAGGGTCAAATTGTATGATTTCATTTCGAGTGTTTATCAGGATTTCTGCCCCTCTCTCCCCTTACCCCTCCTCCCCCCCCCCAATGCACACAGCAATTCTATCATTTGCCCCCATTTACTGAATCCCAGTTGCATTGCAAGCCAGCTTTGGTGAGAACAACATGAACTGGCCTCCAAGCAGAATCTCAGTCTACAGTCACAGCGGGCAGCCCACAATTGGATTCCTGCCTATCCTCACTGCAGCGTCAGACACAGCAACCACTTAGCTCAAACCACCAGTTAGATCTGTAACAGCAGCCCTGTTCACCAGCAGGAGCCAGATTCTAAAGGAACCACCATTGAAGCTAGTTGAATTTTAACAGAAAAAAATGGGATTTTCTGACTAGCTCTAATTACCTCCTTAAGTCCAGAACCCTCATCGTCAATCCAAGAGACCAAGATTTTGTACTGGTGCAGATCAGGCCCCTTTCAGCATTAGAAATGTCTAAAATGCAGGAAATTGCACCTGGCAATTTCCCAGGTGTCCAGGGATGGGCCATACCCACAGTAGCTCCTTCACAGCAGACACAGACCTGAGTCCCCTCATTCTGTATCCTGTGCCAGCTGTAAAATGCTACCAGATGAGTGACAATATTTCACGCTGACTTTGGTGCTCCCCTTGCTCAGGGTATATAATGACACAAGGTGCAGAGATGCAGGACTAGGGTGTCTATAAATGTTTTTTCTCTAGTGCCATGTAAAGATGAGGGTAATTAATTACATACCCACTCTTGAGTATGAGATATTGGTAGGAAATTTCTGGAAACACACAGGCTGTGTCTACACTGGCAAGTTATTCCGGAAAATCAGCCACTTTTCCAGAAAAACTTGCCAGCGGTCTACACTGGCCGCTTGAATTTCCGGAAAAGCACTGATGATTTTACATTAGATCATCAGTGCTTTTCCGGAAAAGCGTTCTGCCAATCTAGACGCGCTTTTCCGCAAAAAAGCCCTGATCGCAAAAATGACGATTGGGGCTTTTTTGCGGAAAAGCGCGTCTAGATTGGCCACGGACGCTTTTCTGGAAAAAGGGCTTTTCCGGAAAAGCGTTCTGCCAATCTAGACGCGCTTTCCCGGAAATACTTTTAACAGAAAACCTTTTCCGTTAAAAGCATTTCCGGAAAATCATGCCAGTGTAGACGTAGCCACAGTGTGCCTCGAAGTGTGGAATAACACAGTAGGGTGGCCGATAGTGCCTTCTTACTAGGGATGGCCCTTGTTTTTTCATCTCTGTACAATAAGATTGGGAGTTGCGGAGTGCTGCAAAAAGCAGCAAGGAATACCCCTGGGCTACATCTACATTGGCGGCTTCTTGCACAAGAACAGCTGTTCTTGTGCAAAAACTTGCAGGGTGTCTACACTGCATGTGCGTTCTTGCGCAAGTAAATTTACAGTACAGTGTCCAAAACCAGGGCTTCTTCTGGCAGAGTTATTCCTCTCCCCACGAGGAATAAGTCCTCTTGCGCAAGAGGGCAGTGTAGACAGGCAACATGAATTTCTTGCGCAAGAAAGCCCTATGGCTAAAATGGCCATCAGCTTTCTTGCGCAAGAGAGCATCCAGACTGCCATAGACACTCTTGCGCAAAAGCACATGCCAGTGTAGACACGCTCTTGTGGAAGACTTTTTGCGCAAGAACTTTTCCGCAAAACAGTTCTTGCGCAAGAAGCTGCCAGTGTAAACGTAGCCTGGTGAATGTAGGTGAGCTCTACTTTTTTATTAATTATTTATTAATGGTATTAGTGATATTGGCACAAGTTCTGGGGTGGGAGTGCTAAGAAAACAATGCATTTTTTAAAAAGGGGATTGTTAGCAACCCTAACTAACAGTTCAGAGAAACTGCCCTGTCAAGGTTTCTCTGACCGATTTAATTCTGGCCACGTGCTGATCTGCTCAGCTCGGGAAACAGCATCGTTAGCCGAGAAATGGAGAAACAGTCCCCTTAATATCTCTGTATTGGGAGCCTGCCCTGCCAAACCTAGTACACACTGAGTAGTGCTGAGCTGCCAGAGCTGATTGTATCTCTCCTCTCTGCCTGGACTGAGGGATGTCAAGTAGCCACTTCTTGCCAGCTGCAGTGCAGAGAATGTAGACTCACAGCTGTCTCCCCTCTGCACGGAGCAGTTAATCACACCCTTTTACATACAGGCCTGTGCCCTCCCTGTCCCATGGCACTTCTCTCTCTGAGTGAATGCCAAGTAGGTTATACTGTCCGTCCCTCTTTGTCTCACTGCCTGAGTTAAAATCTTAACAGGGCCAAGGAAGAAAGTAAGAGCCGAGAAAGGGCTATGCCAGTCTAGCCTGCTGTGCTTCACTGGGTCATTCCAGAGAAGTAAGGGCTGTAGAACCAGAGGACCTGTGCATTGTAGTCTCCCCTGGACTTTTTAAAACCAGAGTGTCCATGAACAGCGTCACTGCAGGGGTGACAGTATCGCTAACAGATTTTTATAGTTTACTTTGGCGAGGGTAGAAGCTCTGTATAAGCTGGAGTCCTATGACATCATGCACTTGGTCTGCTGATTGGAAACAGCTGACTTCCTTCTAATTCAGAAATAGAACATGTGTGGAGGGAGAAGTGGTGGGGTCAGCTTAGATGTGCTTGTCAGGATAAAGCAACATATATTCCAGGCCTGTGGGGGGTTTTTCCTGCTTTCTCCCTCTCTTTTCCTAACAATCAGGCCTGTGCTATGGATGAAGGGGTTTTTGGCTGTGTAATATGAGCCAGACCTGGGCTGATGTGGTGATTTTTAGAGCCTCATTCTTCACGGATGGTTTTGCATTCCCCAATATGTGCAGAGATTGTCGCTCCCAGGACCAAGCTCCATACAGCACTGACACCACTACGTCTGCTCTGCATGATTGCACCGCCAGGCCTGCTGAAAAAGCAGAGCGCTCCTCCATTCAGCTCGTACTTGCAGCTGCTTGACACCAATGCAGCTCAGTCCAGTCTATCCTGATTTACACCAGTGTAACTGCAGAGAGAAGCACAGTCATTATGTCTTCCCCTTCCCTAATCTTATTTCTGATGCTTAATATTTGGTTCATAAATCTAGCCTGAGCAAAACTTCCTGTCAAAATAAACATGCAGAGAGGAAACGCGAAGTCAGGCAGCATTTTAACCTTGCTTAGGAGGCAATTCACTACGGACAAGTCTGCAATGCATTGTAAACCCAGGTCTGTGGGACCCAGGCTGGTGGACTCCCATCCCCAAGCTCAGGCTTCAGAGTTCAACACTGCATGGTAGCCTTAGGCTTATAATCAGGGGCGGATATAGGGCAGAGTGAGCGGGGCGACCACCCCAGGCCCCGCGCTTCAAGAAGCCTTGCGCATGCGCCGTGTCAAAGAGGGGGCCCCGTGACATTGTGCTGCCCTGGGCCCCGCAAAATCATCATCTGCCCCTGCTTACAATGGTGGGACCTGGGCCTCGTAGCCATGCTCCTGTTTCCACACTGCGCTTTGCAGAGCTGGTAACTCGGGGATGTGGGTTGGGCTGCATTCACACCACAAAATGACAAGGCTTGGAGGTGACTCACGGTGAGACTTGTGCTGACAATCCCCTTCCCCCCAGCAGGATGCTAAGACTTGGATCCTGAGCATTTGTTGACCCCACACAGATCAATGTGTGTCTGGACAGAAGTGGAGCTAGGGCTCAAATGTCATTGTAAACTGGGGATTTTTCATGGAGGGTTTTCAGAGGGGTCCTGTAGGGATCCGTTCTTAGTGATATGCTAACCAGCCTTTATCAATGGCCTGGAAAAAAACCCCATGAAATCATCAGTCATGAAGGTTGCAGATGACCCAACTTGGAGGCTCCGGTGTCCCATGGGGGACAGATGCTGCAGGCGGAAGGGGCAAGTGGCCAGAGCCTCTGCAAGGCTTGGGGAACTAACAGAGGGGGAGCGAGGTGGCACCCAACAGCAGGGGTCAGGCCTCGCTAGTGGCCCCAGGCAGAAATGGAGCCATGTGGCTCTGCTCCCTGGCTGCATTGCTCAGCGGAGGGGCAGGTCCAGTCCCCCTTCCCTGTACCGGAGGTATCCCAAAATAACTACCCCACGTCCTAACAAGCTGCCCACTTATTTTGAAACTTTTTTTCAAAATAATGGGTGCACTGTTTTGCCATCCCTGTAACCCTCATGCAACGAGGTTTAAGGGATGGCTCGAAATAGCAGATTATTTTGAAATGTGTAGATGCACCAAACTTCAAAATAAGCCAGTTCGAAATAGAATCGAAATACAGATACACAATTTTCATAGCTCAAATTGCATATCTTATTTCAAGTTCCGGGTGCTATGTAGACACACCCTAAGGGAA